TAAGTGCGTGCTGTTGAATAAATAAGCACAAACGCCAACACACCAGATTAAGACAGAGTTGTTTAGTTTGGATTATAATGTGAAATATATACTTCTCCGCAGATTGAGTTTCACGTACCTACGGATTTAATTAAAAGGTGCCCTTCAGCTCCTCGAATATCCATTTTACAACTTTTTTAGTGGCATATCTCACTGTCGCTAATTCTGTAATGTGAATGCACAAGTGCCATATGGGGTCATAATCCTACAAATGTGATGTAGTCTACAAAGTCGGCAGGCCCACCGAGTTCTTCGAACGGCTAGAGACGAACAGCATCTTTCAAATCTTGTAAATGTGTTCCTTAACCAACTCCTTCGAGGCGGCAAACTTTGGTCGTGTAAGCAGAGTTATGGCATAATTTTTCCATGTGCACAAAAAATCGAATATCATCAACCATAAAAAGGGCAAAGACTCTGCAACATGGTCAAAATTGTGTTGAATCTCTCTTGTAATGTTCCTCCATCCATGTTCCCATGTAACAATCCATTGGTTTTGGTGGTGAACTATATAACCAGCCAGCCTATGGCAAAAGAATTCTCTCCCATTCGGTCGATGTTCAAGGGGAAACATTATTTTTTTTTGCTCATCCTCCACAAAATCAACTTACATCGAGTGCATGACTTGGATGCACGATTTCTTTTGTGAGGTTTGAAATTCCATAAGCAGCAATTTATATGTGGGCAGATTCATCGACAGATGATTTTAGGCAAACTATGTACATAGTTCGTAAGTTGTAGTTTTTTACCGTCTGCTACTGTGGGTTATTAATTTCAAGGAGCACTTGACCTTGCATGTGACAGTGGATACCACAATAACTTCGGGTTGACATGTTGGGAAATGGGAAATTTCAAATATTCGAAGGTATTTGGTGCATATATTTGGTGTAGTTTGTATAACCTTAATCATTTTGGTGCCTCAACTTTTCATTAACGCCTACAGCCATCTGGACAAAACTGCACCCAATTTTATTACTGTCAATCAAGGAAAATATATTATGAGGTGTTGTGGTAAAACTCATGTTACGACTGTCAAAAACATACCCAACAGCTTGATCAATGAGTAACTTTGACGAAAAAATCGTTTCACGTGTGCTTCAATTTTATAGAGTTTTGAAGGTCAAACTTGATGCTGTCGTGCTAAATTATTTTTGAGTTTAAAAATTTTACAAATTAGACAGAACGTCATTATGTACATATATGCAGTCACTGATGTGCATAATAATATAGTACTACAAGATATGATATGATATGATGTGAAGTGCAGTAAGGGGGCACAACTACTAGTTTATTCTGTCGTCACCTAAAAACATAAAAACTTTAGGAATAAAAATACTTGCCACAATGGCAAAACATGAAACCACTCAGTGTTTACGACTTATTCTGAGCTTGTAATTTGAATGACTGGGCGTTTCCTTATTTTCCAATGATGTATGTATGTGGGTGCAAATAGTGCAGTATGTGTGCACACAAGTCAGAATTATTGTGCTGTTCAACATGCATAATTATATGAATAAAACCTACACGACACATGAACGTTGACAAACATGGATTGTACTAGAATACCGCAGTTTCCGGTTATTTAAAAATATATATAATGTAGACTTGGTTAATTAGCAATAAACTTCCTGGTTGAGGCTTCTTTCATTTAACACAATCCTAATTTGTTGGGTTGGGTTCTTTAAGTGCAGATCTGATTTTTAAATCACGGCTTGAAAGACTAGTCAATTTTCGCACTTTATTTATGTTCTTTATGTGCGTACCTACCCTTCCGTGTACATTTATGTAGCGTAGACTGACACAGATCGTGACCTAGTGTACTTTGTGCGTGTACGTCGGCTGATAAAGTGTGGGTGCAGATGACGAGTCTTGGAAAGTTACGAGTTGGTGTGAAGTGAAAATGGATTTAATGATTTTACAAATACGCTAAAACCATTAGTTGTAATCGTTTATCGTTGTTAGTTACATGGATTGACACGTTGAACTAATGGCACCCATCCATTCCTTAGCTCGAAGAATGTCTGCCCAATCCAATCGAAATGCCAGTCACCACGACGTGTTATTGCTATCCCCGTCGGTGGCTGCCAAGGCGAAAAATAAGTCGAGATCCCTCGACCGACCAAAAAGTGAAAGGTTTGGCGGACTTTTAAGCAAGGCTCGCCGAGGATCCATGCCAAAACAAAATCGAGCGTCTGCCATGGATCTTGTTTCCTTTTCATTAACTCCTCTTGTGGGAATGGTGGTAATTGTACAAGAGATTTGCAAACTATTTTATTGCTTCCAATAATGGAATGAAAATTATTCGTCCCTTGCTCCGCCAGTGGCTATAAAGCTAATATTATGGTCTAGTTCTGTATGAACTCTGTGGACCAGTTCGGGTTACCAGCCTCCGTTAGTATGCAAATAGGTTGATGGAATTTCTCGACAAGTGTATTGAGTTTACATTTCGTGCTCTTTACACATATTACATACTCCAGTCTATTGTTATTTCTGCCCACTATGACAAATGATAAGTGCATTAGTTGATTAGAGTGGATTCAATTAAAGCGATTGAGGGGGAGGAGGAGATACTCATCGCTTGTTTCTATCCTGGAAAATTACAATACGTTAAACCAATTGGTATATGTGTAAATTCTGATATACACTTCCCGTTTATTTGCGCCATCAGAAATTTACTTAGCTAGTCGATATTTTTTTAAATTCTACATTGCTCCTCATTTCCCCCATGCAGTTGGATATTTTTTTTTAAATATTTGTATTCTACGTTAGTATTTTCTCTTCATTCGAAGTCATGTATGTTCTTTGCATTTTAATTCCTTAGGTGTCCACACAACTTGTTGTTTTTGTCAAGATACGTTTTGTATTGGAAGAGGAGACATCTTTGTTTATTTAAACCTTTATTGTACAGCGGTTGTCAAAAATAGAAATTTTTCTCTGTCTAGCGTTGTGTCGCCGTGCTACGCATGCTGTAATTACCATTCATTTCAAGCCATTGTCATACAATCACACTGCTGATCAGTTATCTCCGTACATGTTAACACCTTGAGGAGGTCGACTACTAAATGACATGAAATATTGTTTCAGCTCACTACTAACATATATCATTGCGCTTTGCGGTTGTTGCAATACAAGAACTGATGTAAGCTAATTTAAGCTTATGCGCAGGATGCAACCACAAAATTGAATTCTGATGAACTAATTTGCAAACACGTTGTTCACTCATTCGAGTGCAAAGTTAGAGTGGAAATGAGACAGATTATAAATGCTCTATGAATTGGTTTCGTGGTGAATGTGACAAGCTGAGGTATGCAATGTATGCCTAGAATGGCATGGAAGTAAGTAGGTGTGATTGTGACAAGTGCCATGATGAGCGAATTACTCCAATATAAAGGTATCGGCAGGATTTAATAAACGTCCCGCTGCCATTAATTGTGCAATCGTCAAAGTGTGATAAAAGCTGACCTGAAAATTTGAATACTTTGTAATTTCATGCACCAAATCATATTTTATTGTGCCACTCTATAAGTTGTCCCGTAACTGTGGAGCAGTTAGTGGGCGGAAGGCAGAGCATTATTTTCAATCTAATCAAACACATTGTTTCTGACACAGCCAACAGCAGATGACAACAATTTTTTAAATAAATTATCTGATTGTCACGTTTCTTAGCATGACTCGGTTTAACATGGTTCGGATTAGCACAATGTCATTTGCTTAAGTTAAAGTTCGCTTGGTTTGATGAGATTTGTTATGACTTGCAGTTTTAAAAATTATATTTGTTTCTTTTTGAACCGGAAAATGATCCCGTTATTTCACACACATGGAATAGTTTAGAGTGAGTTGATTAATACGTATAGACAGACATACATACGTCATCTGGACATGTTAAAAAACCAACAAAGGCAATAAAGCCTGCCTATATTTCCAACGGTGTCATTTACATGCGTACATCGGAAGAAATCTATGGGAGATCACATAGTGTCATCCATCCATCCATCTGTTCAATCGAGACAAATTCAACAGAATTTGATGTCTCTGCAATTACGAAGCATAACTGTCACTCCCGCCCGTGTATAGAAGCGACGCCGCATCATCGTCGTCAACGGACGGATACGGTATCAGATCAGGCAGGCAGGTGCTCGTCCATCCGTGAACGCGTTTGATGGTTGTTGCTGTATTATTTCCAAGTCGAGTCTTGTGTGAATTTTGCCCTCAATATATTTGTACCAGCAGTCTGATAAGTCGATATGTGTGATGTTAAAGGAAATAATGGAAACCTCTCGGTCTAGGATGGATTTTATTTTGTGATTGATGCAGTAAAAGACCGTACGTAGATAGCTATTGAAACTGGGAATTTTATGTCGATCCGAAATGCGAATGAACTCTTCATCATCGTCTGCGATATATTTGTGCAATAGGAAGGAGCAATTCCTGCTTCCTCAATTTCATGTTATTCTCGGTGACAATAATAATTGCATTTTGATGTTGAATAAATTATCAATTCCATTGTTTAAGCTGCAGTGTGATTTCCTTGATAGATTGACTACAACAAAGAGCCCAACCGCATCTTTTTCTTGCAGAATATATGTACTTAGGGAGTCACTACAGAGTACAGCGATGTCATTATACAATGGTTTTGTAGGTTGTAAAAATGTTAACAAATGTTAATGAAATTACTTGATTAGTCGAAATTACAAGTTACGCAATCTGATATTGTTTCTGGGAGTGGAGCTACGTACAAAAGAACCAACTCAATGAGAGGATGAGATTCCTTTGACACCGTAATTCATCACACCGTTGATTTATATTTATGAGAAAATATTTGCCATGTTCCTGTTGGCTGAACTTTGTTCAGACACATTATCCCCATCGTCTCCTCGTCCTATGTGTTGCTAGATTACTTAACGAAACAATATCCATACCTTCCTTGGTGACTTTGTAAATTAATGTTTTGATTTATTTTGCAGTCAAGTCGGGAGGACGGGAGTAAATCTCCGGCTTCAAACATGACATCGTCCACGGGGTCGGCATTATCATCTCCTCCTCCGTCTAAGGTAACTTTTTTGACACTTCATCATTCTACACAATGAAATAACGACAAGGCACAGACCCCCGTAAAATATTTGCATTTTGGCGTTATTCCCTTGCTACTCCTTCAATGTTTATTTTAAAGATAAGTCATTCAAAACTTAGAATTTTAGTCGCGTACAATATTACTCCCCTTGTCCTTACATAAGTCTCGTATTTTTAATTACCTTGCCTCTTTTAATGCTGGCTGACAAAGAGTGAGCGCATTCCTGTTTTCCATTCCTTCTTAAATATGTATGGTGTTGTTTGGTTTGGTTGGTAACGTATTATGTAATAGCTGTAAATTTAGGCTTTGCTCTGAAAAATATACTTGGTAATAAGAGATGAAAGTTAAGGAAAAGGAATTCAAATGGCAATACGGAATGTTTATGAGAAACCTCCCATTTCTTCCATTTTAATAAAATTAAAAATCACACCTCCTTTTCTTAAGCTCTCACATAAGCAAAGAATAGAATAAAAAATGAGCATAAGTCATGTACGTCTGATATCTATATATATTATTTGCTATCAAATTACAACCACTCAGCATGTGTATGGGTGGATGTGTGGAATACAAATCAACAGCCAAGCAGAACTCTATGTATAAGTTTTCAATGATCAGTTTCTCTGATAAAGACCTCCGAACAAGTTCACGTTAGACAAAGAATTATTAGAGAGGCAATGTTTCCCTACTTCGTTAACTCGGAAATTATCACATCAATTTATTCATGTCTCTTACCGGAGTTTACGACAACGTGCATCACAAGCTCATCGTATAAACCGTTGGAATCTTTTTTTAAATTGGCATTGTAAACAACTTGGTTCCATGGAGTACATCATCTCTCTGCGGGTCCTGAAACTACTCCTAATGGGTAGAAGTTGGGCTAGGCTAGCAGGTCTGGACATTTAGATAAGAAGAGACACCATACTCGGGAGAGATGTGATTTTAGACAAGATCGCCTGTGTTACTTAGAAAGCGATGTGTTTGAGAAAACTCCTCACTCAGCCTTTTCTCCGACTGTGTTGACTTCGTCGTGGTGGGTCCTCGTTTTCAGCTCGGGACTGAATGCTTTCGGTTTTACAACTTTTAGGGCGTACAAGAGTTGATGAGGAGTGAGGGAGCAGGAGCCAATTGTTCGAGGCGTGTAGTTTTAAAGATTTAGAAAATTGAGAGTTTAATGATTTTGGGTATAAACAGAAACTAGGAATTGCACTTTTATTGTTTTACAACACCAAACCAAGCCTGCAACCATTGTACATTCATCATCCATGACGAAGCAAACGCTAAATAGTCTGTCATTATTTGTAAGACTGCTCAGACCACTACTAGTTTTCAACCTTGAGCTGCCACTAGACTCCTGTAAAGACAAAAGATTCAATCTTTTGACATTTTGAGTGATAATGACATTTTTCATTTATTCACTTCTATCGGAATGCGCAAGTATTTTTAATTTGGAAACGATTTATGGAATTCAATGCTGCATTTTTTACAGCAATTATGTACATTGCATTCTGCTATAATAAAGGTGTGATATTGTTTGTTGATGCACACAATTAACACACTTGTATTCAAATATAGCATTCCATATTCCATCGTGATATAGAAATCAAGGCTTCCACCAAATACATTCTACTCCAACACCATTACTACTCTCGGATTCCGATGCAACAAAGAATATTTTGTACAGCTCTTCCCTGATTTAAAAATAAAATATGATATGCACATTTGAAATTAAACATGTCTCTCGTAATATAATATTTTAAAATTTTACTGCAAAATTTTAAAAAGTCCATTTTTCGTTGCAGATTGTTTCAAGTTTAAATTTGTACTCAGGCTACGAGAGAGAGAATAAAATGCATGCTATTAGATCTAGTCTGGCCTGGAATGAAAGGTTATTAGGGACATTAAAAAGCAATTTGTTGTGGATGAGAAAAGAATTTTGTAAGTGCAGCTCGGTACTATGTAATCAGTGGTATTTTATAGAAAGGGTCGATGTATAATTAGCCAAAAGATGTAATTAAGCCTCCACGTCTTACAACCCACGTAACATGTATGTGCATCTAGGTGCATACAAATATACGTACACTAGCCTTTTTTATGGAACAACTGCACAAACTATTTTTAAATGTGGCCTTTTAATTTTCAACAGGAGTTGCTGGAGGAGGTACTGAGTCGTCCTGGTCCTTACCCGATGGTTGTGCTTCCCCGGCGTGGTGGATACTGGGTCGAAGGAGCTGGGTCCGAAAGTCCCCCCGAATTTTCCTCCCTCTCAAACAACTGTAATACAGGAACGATGCCCAAACCAAAGATTGATCAGGATGAGACAGGTGAATAGAATTTTGTGTTGCATTCAATGGGCAGGAAGAATTATTTATAAAATTGCAATTGGTTTTATTTTTGCAGCCTTGGCCTACCGAAAATATTTTCTTGGAAAGGTAAGCTTTCGACTTTCTTGTTGTGTCAATTCATGTCATTTGTCGACATTTGCTTTCGTGTCATTCCTCTTTGTTGACGGCCACCCGTCAACCCCCCGCCGCGGTTTGGCCTGGGAAACTGCAAATACAAACAATAGCTTCTGATGGAACACGACGTTACCATTTCTCGTTATTATTGTCGCTGTTCGTCCCTTCTCATTATTACGCATTCTTTTGTTTCAATGCTGATATAGCGAGATAGATTTTTGTGATAGAGTGAATCCACCAAGGGAACGCGTGACATAATATACAATTTCATGTGCCGTAAAGGATGAGGATTAGGAACCCCTTGAAGTGAATACGCAACGGTTAAAACCGAGTCATATCCAGGTGTTCCTTTTCCAGTCGTCAGTTTACAATATCTTCCATGCACCTCATTCACGACTTTTTTTGTTATTTAAGCACACTTGATCCACCCTCTCTCATTGCAGCTTATGGTCACTTGTGTGTTATAGGATGAATATGGTATATGTATGCATACGGCATTGTTCATTCGTCGTCTGCGTGGAAAATGAACCGAAATGGATCTCCGCTTGATTTGTGATGAATACGCTGAATTTGAACTTGCGGCAGATATTTTGTATATTAATAAAAGTCTTTCTGTTCATCATTAGCTTAGGTACATTAACACACGGTCGACTATGCTGTAGTTACTTGCAAGTATACTGACTTTGTTCTACAATCCCAATCGTCCATCATAAAATATGTACATATGTATATCCCACACACAACGGAGAGACTTCATCAAAATGGGTTGACTGACGCATCTCTCTAAATGAATGCAAGTTTCCACTCCCTTTTTCTTCATCTATACTTGGTGGCTAAAATTAATGATGGAGGAAAACACTTTTGCACGAAACCGAAAGTCATAAATACCAATGTAAGTAACGACAATTCAGCTGTCGTGCTTAGCCTTGAATTGTTTGAAGCGGTATTTGCATTAATACACACATAGTAAGCAGTGACAACATTCGAACCATTAAAATCAAACAACCCCACTGGTTGTTTATTTAAACCGCTAACGATATATTGTCGAATTTGAGGACAATTCAGATTTTAAAAATCTGCATTCGCAAACACAAATAAAAATAATGGCTGGAATTTTATGATCTCTTGTTTGTATCTGCTAGGCACGACATATGTATCTAGCAAATTGCGCTCTATGTACATAATTATTAATTATATATTAGTAAATACTAGAGACACAGATAAACCTTATACTACCGCATGAATGTAGGTAAGCTGTGTATCTACATGCATATTCTTTGGAATTTTTATGGCAAAAGTTTGCAACATCTAAAAATAATTAATATTCTACATACGACAAGACCATGCATAATACCTGAAGCCGAAATATTATGCGTTCTGTGTACATAATCCGCTTGAAATGACGTTAAGAAGGTCCGAGAAGTAAATGGAAAGTGGTGGGCATGCATTGTTGACTACTTATATTTATTCTGTTTCAAATTCATAGCGTCACTTTTTGGTCTGAAATAAACCTTCACGATAGCTTTTAAAATTATGTCACAATAAACCCCTTTATTGTGACACTTTGAGCCAGTAATATGCGATGAGGCTTATAAAATTAATTCGCTTTCAAATCTTTTTTGATACATCTCGTACGTAGACAAACACAGATGCCAGATTCAAGACAGCGAAATTAATTCCAAGAAAATACATAAAAGTAAAAATGAATGAAAAAGCCAAAGAAATCATTCGTCTTTGAGGCTTTCTTTGACCTGTCATCAATTAGCCATTGAACAAGTGCACCCAGCAATAACCAACCACCATTAAAATCAATTCATGACATAAGCAATCTCAGCGCTGCCCTGATGCAAAGTATTTTATGGTGATGTAATAATTATGCATTGTACATATGTTGGTACTTATTTACCTGTGCAGGCTGTTACATATGTATCGTATCGTATTGTATCGTATTGTATATGTACTCACTCAAATGAAGTTGACCATGCACAATGTTGACTAAGAATATATTTCCCCATTTCCTGTAGGCGTAAATTAAGGAGATGAAATCAGTTGATATTTATGTTTTGTGGATGACTCGACACTTGAAATTTACTATCCTCAAAAAATCAAAAGACCTTTGGAAATCCAAACCAAGAAATTCAAAGTCATTCTTCTTTGACTTCATTTTTGATGAACGAAAATAAAAGTAAACTGTAGATGAGCATAATCCTTTAGAACTCTTTGTGCTGCATGACTGGATGCAGATTATCGCATGAGAGGAGAGATGCCCAAATAAATACAAGCACTGATTCCCGTACATTTCACTGATGCATCTCCCTCGCCTATGTTTTTTTGTGATGTGACCATGACCGACCTGTCCGTCTAACTACAAATCCTCTATTGCATTGTCCACCTTTATTATGGACTCAAAATCTGTATTATTATGCAACGTATTGTCAACCATAATCAGATGTAACAATATTTTTGCGTTGGGTTGTACTTAGGATAGGAATCGAGTTTTTAACTGCATGATTTGATCTCAATAACTCGTGGATTGATTATTGAGTCAGTTTTGGTCACTGTCGGCATCATTTTACAATAATTAATTTGTACTTGGCTGCTTCCACGTGATGTGTTGTTTAATATCGTGCTGCTGCACCACCAGTGATGGAGAGGTGAATAGGACGGCACTGGTCAGCAATACAATGCTCGATTATTATGCATCATTAAAAGTAAGGAGATGTCATAATTTGTACTATTTAGCACACTCTCCTTTTTAGTATGTGAAAGAGGATGAAAAAGTTTTGTAGGGATATTATTCACCTTGTGCATCATCTCATCCATTCTGTCATTGTTGTACATATACTCGCAGCCGAGTCGGCAATCAATTGACAGGGTCACCACTGACATGCTTCATCTGCTGCATAGATAGATACACATGTTTTTATGTATCCGTCTACTACATTAATATCGAAATTATATTTTTTGGTAATAGTCCATTAAATGCTATAGATGGTTCTTGCTTAATAGGCTTGTCGGCAATGACTACCTCTGCCTATTTAGTATCAATTATTCCATGCTGAAATAGCAAGTTGGAGTTGCCAGATTTGACCATCAAATTAGCGATTTCGTGATAATCAAACTATATACGTCACATTATAATAATAGACATATGTACACCTAACTAGCCGCAATAGTGCCACTGTATGATAAGACTTGCGTACAATTTTTTTCAGCCCAATTTTGAAATGATTTTGAAATAGGCTGCCGGAATAGATGTAGGTGTGATCAAGTAGCATTATCGATATTTAAATTAGTAGAAATTGATATCTCGATATAAATATCTGAGTGTAACATGATGACAGGCGCAAAAAATACTAGCTCACAAAAGAGCTACAAGTCTAACATCGCCTTGAGGTCATATTTTTTCGATATCAATTGTCTTTAGTATCTGGCCAAGTGATCATTTTGGGGCATGAAATTAATGTAAATTCAAAACAATTTATTTAACGTGACAGTGAACGAAAGCAAATTAAAATTGACAGCTTCGTCCAAGATTGAATCTTCAGTGTAGGATTATTTATGGTATACTTCAACCTAATAATAACAATAATTAATCCTTATTTCACTATCATTTGGATTTTTATTACATCAAGCAAGAAACTGTGCCGGTTTCATCCAAAGAGGTGTTATAGGTTATTATCGTCCATCAATTAAATTGTGAAATAATCTTGGCTTACATGCTAAAATCTAGTATGGATAGCTCAATAAATCTTGTATAACCACAATTTTAAGCCATTTTGTGCAATTGTGCAAAAATAAGTCTGGTTGTTACATTTCGAAATTCATAATTTTGCTCACATCCCATTCGAAGCGAAAGCCCTCCGGAACTTTATGTTCATTTGCATGCAAGAGATGATTGCTTTTTGTTTACGCATTTATGTGGCATTCATGCCGTGAAATTTATGAACCGAAAACTACATTAACTAGAAGTTTGGTACATACATAGCTAGAGGAAAAATTCGATGGTGTCTCTTCACTATGAACCATGAAACAGGCTTGCGTATAGGACGATTTTCTTGTTTGCAATAAAAGCACATATCTCGTGCACAAATAAAATGAAATGTGGCGGATTCTAAAACCGGATCTTTTTGCAAACCAAATGCAAATGAGAAATAGGCGAGCACCTGCCATGTGCAGCACTGGTTCATGCACGCCGTATAATAACCCATCCGTCAATTAACTTGGATGTTAACACAATATGTAGCTCCTCAATGGCACAGTATTTTAGATGAATTATCGCATCTCAGTTTATTTTGCATGTCAAAATTGCAACCCTGCTACAATCAGAAAGGGAATAATGGACTTCTTGGAAGGTACGCATTAGGTAAAAGTATCAAGTCTACAATAGTGGGTTTAGAAGGGTGAATGTTTCAAACTTTAATTGCTGATCGAATAAAACATCGTGTCTGGAAAATTGGACTGACCGATTCTTCGATAAAATATAGTTTACCTCACGCACATGGACAGCTGAAGACATCCTACACGCAAATTTATCTCGTTCTCATTACAAGCTTCATGCATGAATTTCAGATGTGGGTTGTCATCAATCGGCGCTAAGGACAAAGACAATCCTTGAAAAAATTGATTAGCTCAATAGGGGATCTTAAATAAATTTGATGTTTGGAGCATAAAATTCCCAACGGTCAAATAATCTCCAGCATTGTACTAATGCACACACAGAGTCAATATTTGTTTCATGAAAACATTGTCTGTTTGGCTTGAATTAGCAGGTGGTAACAAGTATTTTGAGTTAATTTTCGCGTGACCATGCGATTTATTTGAGTCTGACACATTACATATGAGAATTGCAACCTATGTATATCCTACTCTAACGTGTTGGTTGGATATTTTCAGTAAGTCCTTGGAAGTTTGATAGTTCAATTTGCAAATTAAATAAGCACGTATATATTATGCACAATCCAAACTTTTTT